TGGGTGCATCCCAAGGGGCAGCACTTTAAAGAAAGCCAGAAATATCCTGCACATGAATGGGCTGGATCTGACTTTGTACCTCATATATGTGGACAAGAAAATGAAAACTCTTTTCCTGCGTGGGCTTTGCCATGGCAGTGATTCACTGGCCAGCAGCACTGGGGTCCAGAAACAACAGAGGGAGGGAGCAGGCACCCACGCAGGCTCCCTTGGCTTTCTCTTGGGTCTCGGGACTCAAATACCCTTGAAAAGGAATTACATGTTTCTGCTCCTTCTCTTCCAGGGTGGTCCAGTCGAAATCCTGCCTTTTCTCTACCTTGGTAGTGCCTATCACGCTTCCAAGTGCGAGTTTCTCGCCAACCTGCACATCACAGCCCTGCTCAACGTCTCCAGGAAGAGCTCAGAGTCCTTCAAGGACCAGTACTGCTACAAGTGGATCCCAGTGGAGGACAGTCACACAGCAGATATCAGTTCTCACTTCCAGGAAGCCATCGACTTCATTGGTAGGTCCAAATGAACAAATTCACAGATCTTCATGTATTCTAAATTCATTTATTTTAAAATACATACTGGTGGGAGGGAGACATTCTTTTCTCTGTGTTCTTGCATGTCACAGCAGAAAGTTTTAAGCTCCCTGCCTTCCCCCAGTACTCCTTCTGGCAGAATGATTTCTGTGAGGAAGGAAGGAAGAGGAATGTTCAGAGTAAGGTCTCTGTCCTTCTCTCCAGGCTGGGAGGCTGAGGAAGGAAAATGTCTCCTCTTGTCTGCTGTCTGGCAGATGAGGAGAGCAAGCTGGTTAGCTTTTTTCCAAGCAAGCGTGGGTGTAACTTCAGCATGGCAGGGAGCAAAGAAGTATGGTTGAATGGGACCAAAGTCTATGGAATTTTGTAAAGGAAAAACAGTTCCTTGGACTTGCATGCCAGACCCAGTAGCAGCCAGGTAAAGCAGAACCAGGTTATTACCTTGCTGTGCTGAGATATCCCAAAGGCAGAGTCTTAGAAATCCATTGTACCCCCTTATCACAGAGCTCTTTCCATTCCTCCTTTTGATCCTGCTGGTATCTCATCCTTTACTCAAATGCCCCAATGTAAAAAAAGGAGGAGGCCTTTGGAAAACGTTGTGCCATTACCTTCCAAATTTTCCTACATTAGGCTGGCTGGGTGAGGAAACATCAGCTGTGCCAGGGAGCACAAGTAACAGGCTCCTCCCTGAGAAGCACAAGGTGGTTTGGTGGGGTGGAGCAGCTTGAGCCTGGTTGGAAATCATGTTGAAATCAGTGCTGTTGCTCTCCAGGAATATTTAAGGGAGAAAGAGAATAAAACACCAGTTACGGATTTGCTGGACTCATTGCTCAGCTGAGCTAGAGTTCTTCAGCTGTGCAAGCAGAATTACAAAAACCTGACCTGAGGGTGCTCTCTGAGTCCTTCCCCTTCCTGGTAAGGGACATCTCACACCTTTCAGGGAAATATTAATTAATTCTGTCCCATCTCCAGTCCCTTCTGATAGTTGTCAAGTCACATGGAAATTTCCCAGATTTTAAGGATGACTTTAATTTTCACTTTCTTTTAAAACTGGGCGTGTAGTGTAGACGCTGGGGATGACTCAAATCCATGTCTTCCTTATTTTGTGCAATAGCTAAATATAACTGGTCATGGTGGCACCAGTCCCCTGGCAAACAATCCAAGACAGGCAAATGATAACTTGCTCAGCACTGTGCGTTTCACTGAGATCTACACTCAGCACAGTTATCCATAAATTGGAGCTTGAATATGTTGCTCAAGGCACTAGAGCAGAGAACATCTATTTTTTGAACAGTATTTTTTTGTGGAAAGGGCTTATTTTAAGTACATTCTCTTTAATCTAATAACAATCATTGTGTTGTGCGAGTAACCACAGTGGCTCCTGTTGTGTAAAATGGGTGCTCTGCATAAGCCTTTTATATCCTGACTTAAGTCCAAGCACCCTTTAACCAGGCCGTAATTAGCAACTGCCTACCAGTGCTTGTGTGCTTTGTGGTGAGGCCCCAGCGACTGAGCTCAGCCTCTCTGCCCAAGGGTACTCACCAAGGGCTCAGCTCCTGGCACTGCTATTTGCTGCTAACTGGCCAAGCAGGGAGTTAGGAAGAAAAGCTCTGTTTTTCTAGCAAAGCTCATGACAGGAAGGCAGCCCCTGCAGTTTTTGAAAGACCTGGTGTTGGGAGGGCTGGTCTTGAGTCAGCATTTTGAACTGCAGACAGAGAAATGCAGGTACAGCAGAGAAATACAGGGACAGCAAACATAAGCATTGCCCAGATACCTGATCTCTCTATGAAAATGCTCTGCAATTTCAGTTGCTGCAGAAGAAAAATAGGCACATGGGAAGGAGACAGGGATAGACTTTACTAAAAAACACAGAAAGAACCAAACCAGGATCCACAGATTCTGAAATCAAGTGTTATCTGCAGCTCAGCTCCATCACAGGCTGGGTTTTGTCCCCCTTTTCTTTTAAGCTCCATGTCAGCCTTAGAAAGTGTGATACTCAGTAGAAGTGAAAGTCTCTCCTTGCTTGGTGGACTGGCTGTTGTGCCATACTCCCCCTCCAGCACCGGGTGCATGTCATAGTGTCTTCTCCATCCCCAACAACAACTGATGTCTGCAATGACTTTTTCTCCCTAGATTATGTCCGGCGAACAGGGGGCAAGATCCTAGTGCACTGTGAAGCAGGAATTTCACGCTCTCCCACCATCTGCATGGCTTATCTCATGAAGACGAAGAAGCTCCGCCTGGATGAAGCCTTCGATTACATCAAGCAGCGCCGGAGCCTGATCTCACCAAACTTCGGTTTCATGGGCCAGTTGCTACAATATGAGTCAGAGATCTTGTCTTCCACTCCCAGCCCCCCTGTCACCTCATGCAAAAGAGAAGCTGCATCTTTCTTTGCAGAGGAACTGACATTAGGCAAAAACTTCGAAGGCTCGTGTTTTGCCTTTCCTACCTCAGTGTTGAGTTCTGTGCCCATCCACTCTCCTGTCCACCAGCTGAAACTCAGCCCAATGACAGCATCTTCATCCTGCTGGACCAGAGCTGGTGTGGTCCTCTGATCTGAACTGTGATCCCCAATAAGAACATTTCATGAACGTGCAATAGAGAAACTTCATCGACTTAGTCTGAGATGGAGTGGTTGTCATGGGTCATACTTCCTGTATGCTGTGACTGTAAGATGCAAATACTCTCAGTGTGGCAGGTTTTCTGAACTTTTATTGTCCTTTTTTAAAGAAAAATACAAAGTGCTTTTTTAGGTTTTTAACCATACAACGTGCACCCACTACTGTATTTCCAGATTCCTGGGGAACAATGAGAAATCCATTTAGTATGTTCTCAGTTCCCATATCCTTCCCGTCTTATTTAAAGTTTCAAGCAATAAACAGCAGCAGCAGGGAAGAAAGCAAAATGAAAATCACCACCTCTGCAACCACAGAGGTGGTGGGAGTGAATATTTGTTCAGCTCTTTCTCTGGCTTTCCTCCTCCCCTCTCCTGTGTCATGTTTCAGGGAGCAAAGGGCTGGGGTGGTAGGAGGGAGTGCCTTTCCTGGGACACTCTTGCACAACCAGGTGAAAATCCCCTCTTCCTGCTCCAGCCTCTGAAGTGTCAGGTATTGACCACAGTGTAACTGGATACCAAACCAGATGTTGTGGGTCCATTCAGGTGTGGCATTTCCTGTACTTCTGCATCTGCCTTTGTACTGGATGTGCTTTTATCTAAAGCAGGGACTTGACTGCTATCAGCTACCCTGCTGAGCTATTATCCTCCCATCTGTTATTTAAGAACAGCCCTAGAATACTTGAATGTCTCCACAATCCTTATCCAAGTTCCTTCCCATCAAATAACACTGTAACTGCTGGATTTTACACCAAAAAAAACCTGACAAGCTTTCGGCTCCAAGCCAACTCTTCCTCCATCCCTTCCCAAATGTTCCTGTTGTGTATTGTGTGTTGTCAAGTGGTCTTGTTCAGTGTTATGTGACTTGCTTAGTGTGTGTGGTCACGTCTAGTCAGCCTTTGTCCACAAAAAAAATGGTTTCTATCTTGCTCTCATTGGCTTCTGTGTCCACAGGGAGTTCAGAACGAATGTCTCTGTCTGTTGACCTTTTTATTATTTTTTAACATGTAATATGTACGGGAAATGGCAATAATTTCCAGGAGATCTCGTGAATGTGAATGAAAACCTACAATGGTTTTTATTGAGTGTGAAAAATAATAAAGGAAAAAAAATGCCAGGAAAATAAAGCTGTTTGTTGTACTTGGAGGGAGCTGCAAAAGTGCTTTTGCAGAGCTTGGTGTGTCAGGAGAGGTCACCTGAGAGAAGATCCATGGCATAAAAGTGGTGTAAAAAGGTAGAAGAGGAGGGAAAGTATCACTGGGCTCTGTGCTGAAAGCTACTAAGGTGCAGAGCAGAGAAGGTGAGGGGGAGGATTGTTTTAAACAGAATGACATGAGTCATGGTGGCGTCACTTCCCAGCAGCCAGGCAGGCACTTCTGTTTTGATTCATGCATGTTTTATATAAGATTTGTTATCTTGTTGAAGATGAAAATCTGAACTAGCCATGGCCCCTGCTTCCTTCCTGAGCACACAGCACGGGATGCTACATGCCCTGGGCCCTGGTGCAATGCTTGCAGGTGGCCTGTGGCACCTCTGGGTGCCAGAAACCAGGACATGTGAGTAATGCTCATCTCTGCACTTTTTTAGATGAAAGAAACTTAATAATTTGAAGTGCCAGCAGCTCTGAGCTATTTCATACCCCTTTTAGGCTTGAAGTTTTAAGGCTTTTTCTAGCTCCTTACTGCAGCACATTTGCAATCTGCAATTCCAAGATAATGAGTTGAAAAATTTGTGGTAGATTACTGAGTTACAAAGTATGTGTGCCCTGTGGGGTTTACCTGTTTGTAGCCTCTTACCCCAAGGAAAGCAAATCTGACAGGTGAAATGGTGTCATTGGAGTTGACCCTCAGATTTCTTCCATGTCAGGAGGAAGTGGCAGCAGCTCTGCCTGGGCTCTGGGAAACCTGAACATGGGAACCAGTAGTCAGGGAAGTAAGGTCGGTGATCTACAGTAATTTTCTGAAAGGCTTTACTGCTCCTTTGGGGAACTCTGGAAAGTGATTTCTCCCTCTCAGCCCTCACAAGAACCCAAGCAGAAAAGCTGCTGGGCTAAATGAGCGCAGACATCCCTGAGCACAGAGACCTACAACCTTGACAGAAACAGAGCAGCCAACAGTTCTCATAAAAGCTGCATAAAACCTGGTCTGACCAGCTTTGTTTCTCAAGGATAGGGAAGCTGAAAGCCTCTGCAGTCAGTGCTGTTTGCCATGGGAACCTGCAGAGCACAAGGCAGTGAACTGAAGGGGTTAATAGAGGGGCTGCTCGACTGGCCTTGGCAGATTTGACCACAACAGCTGGAAAAGATCACAGATTGGGTGGAGGAGCCAGGTATTTAGCAGAGAGGGAAAGCAGCTGCTCTGGGTTTGAAGAGGAGCTCTTGTCCTAAGCTTCAAGCACAGTGTATTCATGGATAGTACTGGCAGAGGGAGCTGCTGGGATTTGGCAAGGACAGGGGGCCACAGTCCCGCGTGATCCTGAAGAGAGGTGGTTGCTGTGCCTGGACACAGGAGGCTGAAGTTTATGCTTCTTCTCAGGGTAAGATTCTCCTCTTTTTGGCTGGTCTCAATCCACCTCTCCTCCCTGCAGAAGGAAGTCCCAGCATCTAAGGTAGAGTGGGGTGTAAATGTTGCCTCTCAGAGGGACATGCTCCCATGTTGGTGCCTGCTCTGCTGTTTCAGTGCTAATATGAGACCTCTGCCCCCAGCTCAGCTCTTCCCTTTGCCAGTTTGGCAGATCCCACCTCTCTGAGGGAGCATCACAGCCATCTGACTGCAGGGCTCTGGGGTAAAGAGTACACGTTCTCCTCCCTCCCTGTCCACACTGCTCCCATGGACAGGGAGGAGCTGAGGACCCAAGCACCAATGTGTGAAGGTGAGCATGTCAAATCGGGATGGCACCTACCTGGGAAATGGGACGTATGAGTTTGAACTCATGTGGGTAGTTCTCTGCTTCGAGACACCAGCACACAATAGGTACCTCAA